CCCCTGTCCCTGCCACTGAAAAACACCGCCACAGCACAATGCCACCATCGTGCTTCACCGTTGAGATGATATTGGGCATGTGATGAATGGTGACTGGTTTCCTCCAGACATGATGCTTAGAATTGAGGCCAAAAAGATCGATCTTGGTTTCACCAGACCAGAGAATCTTGTTTCTCACAGAGTGAGAGTCATTGAGATGCTTCTTTGCAAACTTTCACTGGCTTCCGTCTGTCCAATCTGCCATAAAGCCCAGATCAATGTTGCAGTGATGATTGTCCCTCTGGAAGTTTCTCCCATCTCCACACAGATTCTCTGGAGCTTAGCCAAAGCGACCATTGGGTTCTTGGTCACCTCTCTTACCAAGGCCTCAAGGAAGAGTCCTTCTTCCATGTAAGAATTGTGGAGGCCACTGTGCTCTTGGGAACCTTCAGTCTAGCAGAAATGTTTTAGCAGCCTTCCCCAGATCTGTGCCTCAACACAATCCTGTCGATCCTGGCTCTGCAGGCTGTTCCTTCCACCTCATGGCTTGGTTTTTGCTCTGATATTCATTGTCAGCTGTGAGACCTTACATAGACAGGTGTGTGCCTTTCCAAATCATGTCCAATCAACTGAATTGACCACAGGTGGACTCCAGTCAAGGTGTAGAAAAATCCTAAAGATGATCAAGAGAAATAGGAGGCACCTGAGCTAAATTTCAAGTATCATAGTGAAGGGTCTAAATACATATAAAAATGTGATATTTCTGTTTTCCCTTTTGAATACATTTGCAAACATTTCTAAAATTGTGTTATGCTATTGAGTGTAGATTGATCAGTGGGAAAAAAAAGAATTTTAGCATAAGGCTGCAACATCTCGAAATGTGAATGGGTCTGAATACTTTCTGAACTGTACTTCACATAAATCACATTTGGGGGGCTTTATTACAAGACCTCTGCCATCATTAAATTTGCATAATTTTTTATTAAGCGCCTTTTCATTGCTGCCGAGCATTTTCTTGAGTCGTTACAACTGTTGTAGAATTTGCAGGACTGACACTGTAAGCAGCTGACGAATCAAAGGCAAATGAATATCTAACCTCATTAAAAGGCCATTATGAAGAGCAATGCATCATTTGGGTTCTTGGTTTTAATTGACAATTAAAATATATAAGTTAACGTAGCCATTAAACTAATTGATCAGCACAATGCTGATTTTTCTGTTAGCTACAATCCCATTAGAGGCTATTTATCATGCATTTTTAATGGCTTCTCTATATTGCTTCAGATGCAGTACTTTCTCAAGTTATTTTTCTGTCATTATGAAATACTAGTAGGCAGTATCTGAAAACCACAGAGAGATTTTATAGACAGACTTTTCTCAAGCAAAACTGTCTTTTTAAAGGATCGATTCGTGTGACAAAATTTTGAAGATGTACAGCATTTAGCAGTGTCCCCTATATGTACTTCTGAATTATGTTGAACCTTTCTGTAACCTTATGTTGAAGTGTTACGACTGTATCGTTCTTCAGTAGCAGTGAAGCAACTTTGATAGCTGACATGACATCGAAGTTACTTTAACAGTAGACTTGATCTTGAAAAATATTTATATGTGGGGCTAGAATTTACAGACAGCTTTAGCGGTATCAAGTTTTGCTTCATCTTTACTTTATGGCTGTACATTTCGTCTGGTGGCCTTATCCTTGCATTCCAATAAAACACCATGCTAGGTTAAATAATGCTGAGGCATTTTAAACCACATCTGAACTGTGCTTAACCGTGGTGTGTTGAGCCAGGACAGAGCAGTGCTCTGTGACGATGTGATCCAAATGCAGACACCATGCAGGGCTGATCCTGCTAGGGAGTACTGAGGTGGACAGGGCAGGTGCTGTGGCAGGCTGAAGCCATCCACACTGCCTGCTGCCTTTGCATGCATACTGCATGTTACAGATGGAGAACCTCTTACAGTTGTACCCTCACCTGTAAGATTGTGCATGCATGCATATGTTAAAAGGACTGAAATAGATTGTGTTCTTCATCTTTTCAGTGTTGACATTCACTAAACGCTTTAGGAACTACAATCACACCCTGCCCCCACCCACCACCACTACGACCGCGAACAATGACGCATTTACTGGATAGCCAGCAGCCACTCCTCTCCTCACTGTCCTGCTGTGAGGACATACTTTACTGTTTGTGTTTGTTTGTGTGTGCCTCTGTGATTGAGTGATTACATGTTTACTTGCATGCGTATGCACATGTGTGTGCATCTGCCAGTGTGGTGCGTTGGCGTTGCGTCTCCCACCCATCCGTGCAGATTCCAGGCAGCCAGGCAGTCTGTCGGTGGCTCCCTGCTGTTAGTTGCTCCGTAGAAGGCTAGAAATGGTGGGTGGAATCCCCTCATGGAGCTTTCCTCATGCTGCAGGCGGATGTCTCCCTCTGTCTCCCCTCATCTCCCCGCTCACCTGGGGACTGATGCCAGCCAGCGAGCCTCGCCCCCCCACCCTCCTCTTCCATCCAGCCCTGGAGGCCCTCAGCCTCGCCAAAGAGGGAGTGAAGATGGGCGTGGGGGCGGGCAGATATGCCAATACCATCTTAAGCTCCCCATGCATACAATACACACATGCAATAAAAGTGCACACACACAAATATTATTTACATATAGCAGCTGAATACCACATTCATCTGGGCTGTAATCAAAGTAAATACATTATTATGTTTGTTGTAAGACTGTAATCCATTGCTGACTCACATGTGACATGCCCACACTTGCATACTAACTTGTACGCACCCCCACACACATATAGACGCTTCCTACACTGAGACTGTCCCCCTTACAGCAATAGCATCTATGGCTGCCAGTTTGGCTGCCTGGACGGCTCCATGAGTGTTAAGTGTCTCGGTACCATTAAGCACCAGTCAGCCCATTTCGATTGCCCCACATGAGTGCTCTTCGCCAGCACACTTCACTTTCAGCTAACCTTCGGGCAGCTGCTCTTGTCGAACCTCACATTTCTTGTTGAAGATGAGGATGAGGGGTGAGGAAGGTGATGGTAAAGTGGGAGGCGAGGGTGGGAGAGACGGCGAACACCAGAGAGGAGCATTACAAGCAGCAGGCTCTCAGCTGTTGCACCCATCTGGAATTTAAACCGTTGGTGTAAATTGAATACTTGCATATATGAACAGTAACAGTTGGAAATTCTTTTCTATTTAACATATTCATTTGGGTGAAAATACTCAATCTATCTGTACACTATACTGTACACTACTCGGTAATTTAGAACACCGTGTAAGTACCATCTCAGTTTACTGGCAAGCTAAAGTTACATGCATGTTTTATTTGAACTCACTCAATTAATTTCTTCTGCCACATGTTCACGTTCTCATTATTCATGGTCTCTTTTCTGTGTACACCATTTAATAAAGAAGAGACGCTGCAAAAAATTGTGAGTTAGATTTTAACTGCCAAACTTAACACCTGATGTCAGCTGGGAGTCAGAGAGGAGGGGGAGAGGGAAGAGAGGAGGGTGAGTTATAAATAGCAGTAGTCTCTCCAGGATGGCAGGTTTTTAATTAACAATAGAGAACGTCTGATAATCCACAGTTAATCCAGAGGAGAAAAGGGAGGAGAGGAAAGAAGAAGAGAAAATCATCAGCTGTTTGATGTTAGGACTACAAGTCCCTCCTGGCCTTTCCGCAGCTCGCTGCTGAGCTGTTCTGTGCTGTGATACCCATAGCCCAAATGTATTTATTTTGTGAAACAGCCATGCTCCATATTTTGTGATTCACTTTGTTTCTGACTAACCGCTGTCTGTTCCCATTAGTGTGAATATGTGCATGCCGCTCCTCTTAAACTGACTGGGATTCTTTGTGCTTGCGTGTGGTGTTAGTGGATAGGGGGCTGTTTGTCGAAAACTAGCCGACTGAAGGCCCTGATGGCTGGAGGCATCCGCTTAAAGTCCTACGCCTGTTGAAAGGCTTGATCTGTCGGGGAAACACTGGGAGATGTCAGGCCTGCTTCGCACTCAAAGGGAGTCTGCTATCTAAGACACTTTGAGCTTAGAGGGAAATGGGGGTGGTATTTTTTTTTCTCTCTCTCTCTCTCTCTATCTATCTATCTCTCTCTCTCTCTCTCTCTTTTTGCACAGCTGCAAAGACAGTAACAAATATGTTGTTTGTACTAACTGTGATACTTTATTTGCTGGGGCTGGGTTGAGTTTCACTCTCATAATTCAGAAAGAATTCGAGTTTAATTTATGACATTATATTTTATGTATTCAGACGTTGACACTTCTTTCCTGAGCAGCTTAAAATAAATGCATCAGTAGAATTAAATTCCCTCAAGCTCCAAGATCACCAATATAACAAGCAACCGGTAAAGAGAAGTGAAGAGAGCAGAGTCTAGACACATTTCCTACTCAATAAGATTATAAGTATGAGAGGAAATATCAGGTGGAGATGTTGTCTTTTAATTGGTAATTTTTTTTTACCATTATTTGACCAGGATTATCTCCTGAATGATCATTTGCTGATCTTTTTAAGAACGAATTGACTGGAGCAGTGAAAATAGTCCCTTAAAGGCTCCATGTTGTGGTGTACAATTCTGCAGGATTGTGGCAACGGAGCAGGCTTCACATGACACTTGGTTGACAAAAGTCACACCAAGACTCTTGGCGCTCGGGGCAGGAGTCACTGTGATCTTGTCAATAGTGATGAGGAGATGTTGTAAAGGATTTTCCAGAGATATATGTATGATATCCAAGACGCTGTGTGTACAGATGGGCTCGATTTTATTTTGTTTTATTTTGTTTTGTGCAATTATGGTACCACTTTACAAATTCAAATCTTCAGTGTTTATCCCCCTCTTCTAATAATGAGGGGTCTCTTTCTCTCCTCAAATCTTTAGGTACGGGTGATGAGACATTAAGATGTTTTCTTGTTGTCAGTGAGAAAATTGAAGGAACAAAATAATCGAGTCGAGATAACATGTTAAAAGCTTTTCTTTCCGTCTTTCTGGCATTTCAGGACAGAGTCTGGGCTACGGCTTTGTCAACTACATCGATCCAAAGGACGCAGAGAAAGCCATCAACACGTTAAATGGACTCAGACTTCAAACCAAAACGATCAAGGTAACTGACACCATGTACACATAAACAACTGTAATTATAACATGCCATAATAATTGCCATGGCCCACACAATTAGTCTAAGATAAATTACTGAAAATGAGAAAATAATTACAGCAAAATATAGAAATGAATTGCTCGATAATTGATGATAAAATTACAATGCATTTTTATAAAGTTATGGAAGTCGTGGTAAACTAAAATTATAAGGTTTTTTTTTCTTTCACAAAGCTCTTTTTAGATAGTGATGCTGTTAGTGAATGAGCTGGAGGGCAAGATGGGATTAACATGCATGAGCCTCAGATATAAAAGACCATCTAAATCAAAGAGACACATTTTAAAGCTTGTGACTATGGCTGATATGCTAATTACTCTCTAAATGTCAAAATGTAAAGGTGAAATTATATAGATATCCCTGAGTGAAAGGGAAGAAACACGTCAATCATCACGTTTTCCAAAATAATTGAGGGGTCTGTTATTGCATTTTAATGGCATGACTAATGTGCAGGCTCGGTGGTGGTTGTCACAGAGGTAAGACAGATAAATCAATGCCAACGCTGAACTGTCCCTCCTCCAAACATGTTTTGAAGAGGAAAAATTAAACCTTACAAGCAGTGGTTTTTGCAGATGCTTAACATCAACATATCAATCATCTCACTGATCTCGTTTTTTTCCCCTTCCTCATATCCCCTGCTATCTTCCCCTCTGCTCTGTGCCTGCTGACATGTTTGTGCTTTTAAGCTGGGCAGTAATCTGTTGCTCTGTGGTAATCCTAGGATTCTCGCTTTCTGTCATTTGATCTAATCTGATCTAATCTAATCTAATAGGGTGGGATTAGCCTGTTGTTGTGAATGGGGAATCTCACAGAGAATCCCTCCATTCCCTGGACAGTGCATGCTGTCTAGCGTGGCCTTGCTAGACAGCATCCTCGCTGTGGTCTAACTAATGCCAGTGGAAAAAAAAAAAGAAAGAGTTTTCTGCATGTGCTGTAATAGTGAATACGGGTGTGCTTTTCTGTTTGTTTGAAGTGGGATCCGTGGGGGTTTGAGGTATTTATGGTGGGCAGATCCGTGTCTGTATTTGTGTGTGTTGTAAATATCTGATTCGGTCATTGCGACCTACAGGTTGATCAAAGCAGGGCTCTCACTGATCCAAGATTACAAATGTTTGAATGAGCCAAAAGGTAGAGACTGGGTGTGCTTGATAGTGTACAGGCATGTGAGTGCTTAGATGTCGGCATTGCAGGAGCAGCGCTCCTCATTCATTAAATTTACAGGTTTTACAGAGCATCCAAACAGCTTCTTCACCGTTTCATATTCTACATTATTGCTTCATTTAAAGTCTTTGTTATTTCTTCACAAATACATACATTCGCTTAATTTTTTCACATTTAGCTTTGTTCACTAATTTTCAAAGTTGTCCCAGCAATACTCTCTGTATCTTTGCAGTAATAAATATGAGAATATTAATTAGCTGAGTGAGCCTTTTAGAAATGGAGGCATGTAAATGTCAACTTGTGGCCAAGAAGAGTTTAGAAATCAAGAGTTACAATGTGCCAGTGTTAAGAAGACTACAGTTTCAGATCTTCAGGGTATTTGGTATTGATATATAATGTGAGAACTGAAAACAGTATATGAACAATATGATACAAAGCAAGTCAGTCAACATGGAGACTTAGGTGAAAATTAGCTTTTTCAATATGTAGATTGGACTGTAGCAGGCTGAGGTCACAGATTTTCACTCTCACACTCTCATGACACTAGAGGTTGCCTTAAGTTGTTCCTGAGATAAAGGCTGTCTTTGTAATGACAGAAGACAACTCTGCATCTCTGTCTGGCACTATCGCTCTTTCACACTTCATTTCCTCCCTCCCACTACCCTCTTTCCCTGCTTTCTCTCTGCACAACACACGGAAATACCCTAAAGGTAACAAGGTAAATTAAAAGGCAGCACGGTAATTCTAAAATTAAGTTTGTCGCTCTTTCATGTCACACCCTTCCCACTCTCTGCCACTACACTTGTGAGGAAACGCTTGGCCCAGAGATTCACATGCTCTCAGGCGATGTGTCTCTCTGTAGTGCCTTTGAGTTGGTTTCGCTGCTGTGGTTTCCTCCACCATGACACCTCAGATTTTGTCAGCGATGGCTGCGATGCTGCTTTCCTACTGAGGTGTGAGGAGAAGCAGCATGCCAAAGGTGAGAGGAGCTCACAGTGACACGCATGCACATAATCTCAGACACATTTATACAGTGTGTGCTTGTGAACACTTTAATCTTCACACTTGCGGTTTTTCTAACTTTCTTGCGCGCACGCATACACACACTCCTGTTTCACACATGCACCACACCACACTTGTACACAATACCGCTCACAGCTTGAGGAGGTGTTGATGGATTAGACATCTGGAGTTGGCTGACAAGGAGAGAAAATGAGGGAGAGCTACACAGAGAAGAAAAGAGGAGGAAAAAAAAGAGGCAGAATCTGGAAGAGAGAGAAAGGTTTAGTGAGGCAACACGCAGGAAGGAAGGAGAGAAGCAGAAGGAAGCGATCCAGGCAGCAAAAAGGAGAGAGATGTGGAGAGGAAGAGGAAGACACAGGAGCTGAACAGAGAGGCCAAAGAGGAAGATGTGTGAAAGAGAAGTGAGACATGGGGAAAGCCAGCTGTTCCCAATCCCATTCTCCCACCGTTAGAGTTCAGCAGGATTTCCATGCTGTTGCTCAAGGATATGACTGCATATCCACCATATTTGCCTGACTTTAACCTTATTTGATGACTTACGTCTCCACATGTCGGGGGTAATGAAAGCACTACAAGGGAAAGCTGCTCCAGTCAGCAGCAGTAGTAATGGGATTTATGCATCTTTCACTGGAGCAAAATGAAGTCTGCTCATGAAGATGTTGGGGACAACATTTGACAAGTGAAAGTTCACTGTAAGAGAGCTACTGCTGGGAGCTGCAAGGCACACTATAACCAGTTGTTCAGTTCCAGACATTGGCACCATTAGAGATGACATTCACACACAGTATATTCTAGGTAGAAGGACAGGAACGATAGCATTAAAATCCGTGCGTATTAGCATGTTTATGGACATGCGCTTGTGTGTCTGTACATATGTTGAAATGAGGAGGAGGAGCAGCGTGCGACAATGAGGAACTGAGTGAAACTGGGTGGATTATTGGTAACATGGTGTCTAGCAGAGGTTTGCAAGGGCAAAAATGTAATGGATTTTTTTTTGTTTGTGAATATGTGTATGGCTGCTTGTGTTTTTGCAGCACACTGTCTGTAAGGGTTACAATCACAGACAGTTTACTCCAATAGCAGATTCTCTGAAACAGAAAGTATGTTTAAAGTTTGACACATATTGTATCTCAGCTTAATAAAACTAAACTGTGAAATCCACTCTTCAGTTTGCGAGGCTAAATGGTGCTCGGTTAAAAGCTTAAAGGTTTTTGGTTGCTTACTATTAGGGTCATTGCTAATGTGTTAATTATTTTACCTGCTGAAATCACAACACATTAACTCACCTCTTTAATTAATTCATACTTTATCTCACAATAGCATTTGAAATCAATAGGGTGAATGGAGAGACTTTTTAGACAAAATCCTATAACTATTAATCCTGTTCCCCTGGCTAACTGAGCTGCCCTTTCAAAGTAAAACACCTGTGGTTTTTACACAAGGGAACAAAGTTTCCTTTGCCTCCCCCAGCAAACGAGTGTGTTATCTCTCCAGTGTAAGCAGCTAAATCTTTTCCTGACAACGATAATCTCCAAGGCAAGGTGCACTAAGAAAATAAAGTCACATTTTCCTCCCTGTGGAAGTAATAAAGTATGGGAGCCCTAATTTATTCATACAAGGCCTAAAACTGTTTCATTTTCCACAGGTGTCATATGCGCGACCCAGCTCAGCCTCCATCCGTGACGCCAACCTTTATGTGAGCGGCCTGCCCAAGACCATGACCCAGAAGGAGCTGGAGCAGCTCTTCTCCCAGTACGGACGCATCATCACCTCCCGCATCCTCGTCGACCAGGTCACAGGTATCCATGGGGCAGCACCTCCTCTCTCTTTACACTTTGACATGGACACACACGATCAGCCGAACAGTGAAGGCGCGCACACACACACATACTATACTATATGTATACATTGATACACCATGTCCCTGATTCTGTTAAATGTACATTTACCCAGCCACACTGTTTTTTTTTTTTTTGTGTTCTATGGTCATGTGAGAATTTGATATTTGGACTCATGGGTAATATTAGTTCAGTTTGTGCCTTTTATGTCTGAGCAATTGCTTTTCAGAAAGATGAATTAAACATCTTGCCTTAATATTTTTAAAGTATTTCCAGAATTGCGGAAGTCCTGAGAGGCAAGTGAGAAAAAGAAAATTTCCAGTGATCCATTTTCTAAGTCTGATTTAAATAGTTTTCTCTCTTGTATTTATTACTTAAAAACATGTGAAATGTTTTTTTGCCAGAATAATCTTTCCAAAGTTTCTTAATTTGTTTATTCCATCTGGGAAAAACAGGTGGGAAAAAAATTTGGAAAAAGCTTTTTTTTTTTTTTTTTAAGTTATTTTTTGGGCATTTGTATGCCTTTACCAGATATGACAGAGAAGAGGGACAGGAAACACGGGGATAGAGAGAAGAGGAATAAAATGCAGCAAAGAGTGTAGCCGGCAGAGTCAAAACAGGGACTCGCTGCTCAGGACAGTTGTGTAGATGTGATATGCGCCCTAACCACTCAGCTATCAAGTCTCCCCTAGGATCATTTTTCTTCTAAGTTGCTTTTCTTTCCCTATCTATGAAAACTTGTGAAAAAGTGTTTTGGCAAGTGTTTGTACTCATTTCAGGCACAAGAAGTTCAAGCGCACCACACCCCCAGTCTAAATAGGAAGCATTCATGTTTTCCTCCAGGTGTTTTTTAAATTTCTCCATGTGCTCAAGGAAGGCAATATTGTATAAATGTACAAAATTATCCTATTATCCTAGCAAGTCTCTAGTCCCAGTGATCATTCACTCAGTAGCTAGCAGCTAACAGCTATAGTCAGTATTGCTAACTAACGGCAGATTAGTGCCAATTAAAATAAAAGAGAGACATGACAGTAATATTACATAACTTGTGTTGTAGTAAATTTTCACCAGAGACTAACTCTAGACCTCTTCACCAACACTTGTTACCACGCAATAAAAACAGGCAATATTATCATTAATTGAGTTTCAGTTAAATTACATTTTGATGATGTGATCATGTGACATAATTTTACAGAATTAACAATTCCATGAAAATTGTTGCTACACAGGTTACTGAAAGTGTTGTGTTGTGTGAGTGAAGGGTTTTGGCTGATGACATGAAAATCAGTGTGACACCGTTCATTGCATTGAACAGTGGTTAGATTGTTTTTTGTGCATTCACCATATCATGTCTTGGAAAATGTTCTTATCAGTACCTTAATGAACTGATTTTAATCACATCGCTCAGCCCTACCATCCACCAAGCATTGCCTCGTGAGTGAGTGACCTCAATAGGCAATTTTTCACACCATGACCTCAGCTGAGGCCGCCATGGTAAAAACAGTCATTATTGTGAGAGACACAAGCTGCGTAATATACATGCTCAATTACACATTCCACTACATCCAAAACACAGGAATGAATCACATCAGCCCATTGTATTGCAGAAGAACCCCTCCAGCGTGTCTCTTAGATCCATTTCAGGGGTTGTGTGTGTGCCTACAGGCTGCAACCTGCTCCAGTGTTATGTGCAATGTGTACTGATGAAGCAGAAAGGGAGCAGCATGCTGTAAGCCACACTCATTTGCCTAAGCAGAATAAATCACTGCTGGCAGTGAAGTGCACGCCTGTCTGTACACACTGAGCAGAGGAGGAGAGAGTGTGAGAAGAGAGGGGAAAGCAGAGGAAAGGAAAACAAAGGAGAGGAGAAAAGGAGACGGGGGGGGATGCAGACAAGCTGGGAGGAAGCAGAGAAAATGGAAAGAAAGCAAGTACGAGAGGGCGTAGATGAACAGCTACGTGGGAAGGAGAGGAAATGAGAAGAGGGAGGAAGTGAAGGGAGAGCTAGGGCGGGTGGCAGTGGAAGGGAAAGGTGAAAAAAAAAAAAAAAAGATAGGGCCATTTCTACCCTCATCAACACACATTTAGATGAAGTGGGCACATCGCCTGCTTATCTGTTTTAACTAACAGACCTGTCATACCGCCATGCTACTCAGACCCAGGGGAATCCCTATAAAGCAACACAGCCACGCAACACAGAGCAAGGCTACGGAAAACACATCTGTTCAACCACAGCCAGCCAGCCAGCCAGCCAGCCAGCCAGCCAGCCAGCCAGCCAGCCACACACACACACACACACACACA